AGGTTCTTCAAATCTTCCATACAGTATCAAAAACAAAAAAAACAGGAACACCTTCCTATACTATTCCTTTTTCAGAAAAGTTTCCGTTGGAAACGGCCATATCCTTTTATTTCGCATTGGAGTTATCAGATTTTTGTAACAAATGGAAAGCACCTAGTTCTCTCGACCACCTCATTAAAGGCTGTTTGCGGGCGAGACAACAGAGATGTAACTGTGAAGGGGATTCGATTGAAACAAGTTATTTCTGATTTCAATCTCGGACAGGTCACGGTTGAAGACCATAAGATCGCTGAGGTAAGCGTGAGTCGTTGTAGAACTGTCCCTTTTTAAACCAATGTCGTAGACACTGTGCCCCGAATTCTTGAAGTCTAGAAGTAAATGGCTATCAACATTGCGAGAAGCCTTCATCTGTCCGTTTATGAATATTTGCACTAAGCCGTGCATGCGACTCCAAGTTACAGCGACGTGACTCCACACATCTCGAGAAACACTAGAGAAATAAAATGTAATTTACTAACTCTTGTGACCAAGAATAGCGCAAAGTGTATGCACATCAACGTCACGTTCGTGTCCGTTTAATTATTTGAAGTAGAAATACTAGAGAATCTAAAGGAGAGCGACCGTACACTAAGCTAAGTGTAGGAGAAAGAAATGAGGTCAAAAATTTTTCATGATTGGATCGTAAACGAGGAATTCTAGACTCACGGTAGGTCTTGGACGCTTTTCGTTTTAAGTGGAAAACAGGCGAGAAATTGCTGTTAAAGGGAACAAGACAATTTTCCAAGATACTGGGACGGGGCGAGGAGGATGTTTCCTTGGCAATCAAACTGTTTTAAATATGTTGACGAACGCAATAGTTCACAGACCAGTCTTAGCAGAAGACCCCAAGCTAAAGCCAAAATAAAGATGTTTCGACTGAGGTAGTGGGAGTGAGTGGGAAATGGCACCTTTTAGTTTATCCTCTCTTGCTTCATACAACATCAACTGACCCCACCTCCCTACCTCGTCGTCGTTCCCCCCTCCCCCGACAGATTCATCACTCTTACCGGTGGTCCGAAGTAACTACAAGAGCAAATATATCCTCGATTCCGTTAACGTCTCTCCTGGCTTGAAAAACAGGACAACCTCTGTCCATTATAAAGAACCTGAACTGCCAAGGACGCGACCAATCACTGTAAATAGTTTGAACTGAGTCTAGAGTGAGGGGCGATACAAGTTTGATCCACACTGCAATAGTCAAGTCTGTTTGGCGGAGTGGAATGGCTGGTGTCTCAGCAAAGTTTACTCCTGTGCCATCCAAGTAGAGAACCATTCTGTTATTTTGCTTTACGAAACCAGCACTTCCTCGTAAACTAATAGAAAAAGATTAACAAGTTTGCTTTCATCGGAATATATCAAAGAACAGAGATAGTCTTTGCCAGCACTTCCCAAAATCAGAAGAGAATTTCGAAAGATGGATTTTCTAATTCTTTTTATTTCATTAGAATTATTTAAAGAGCCGAAAGAGACGTAATTTGGAAATGGTGGATGCAAAAGTCGTCAAGCAAGAAAACGAAAAGAAACGTACGTTAGTAAGCTGTCCATGCCATCTAGAGCCCAGTGGAAAGGAAAACCTACAAAATAAAACTGTTTTATTACACTACAAATGTTCCCGAACATTAGCTAATTCTGAACTATACAACGCGCTAGACCTTTGCTAGTGATATAACTGGGTTGAATTATGGCAAGAAGAAACACTTAAAGCTCACAAGTTGCATTAAATAATTACAAACAGGTGATTCGATTGAGAAAATACAAGAATATAACGGGTTTATTTAGTCCAGTATTTGGATATTTTCCCATTCACTCAGTTAGAAAAATGTCATCAAGCAATGAACATTCATTTTCTTTGAATCATCACGCATGCGCACTATCACGAATTAATCACCTGCACACTTATCTCCATACGGGACTTGGTTTGAACTCCACGTGCATATGAAACTGCCAACTGTGTTTTGGCACATGGCATTCCTAGCGTCACAGTTATGAGTTCCTTCTGAACATTCATCTACATCTGCCACGAAAGGTGAAAAAAAAAAAAAGGAAAGTTCTATGATTGAAATGGTATAAATGCTGCCTGGACGATATATGCATTGCCAGACTCTCTGAATCTATCCCGAATTTAGTATAAATGTGCGTATTGAAGAAGTTTGGAGTGGGTCGTTTCACCCTGAACATATTCCTTTTCATTAAAAAAAACCTTCTGTATTAAATACCTACAATCTTTTACCACTCGACCTACTATTGAGCTTCTTTTCACATCCACATTTTCTTGTAAAATCTTTAACTGTGGTGTATCATTTCTTAAATAAAACATATACCTTCATCGCACCCTTCTCCTTGAAACCCAGAATCAAAACATACGCACGAGAATCCTTCGCCACGAGGGCAACAGTTTTTGTTCTCTGGGCATGCAGATTTGCATAAATTCTAGGTTCAGGAAAACAAAGACAGATTATCTCATCAATTGAATAGAGGTAAACGAGACCCTGACCACACATATTCGGATATTTTTTAATCTGCAACTTTGTCGATGCGGATTTAAAAAAAATTCGCGTCCACAAGTATCGCATTCGAATCATTTTTAGTCCGTCCATACATATCTGATACGTATCCGGATATCTCAACGCTTTCTTCAACGGAGCATGCGCTCTATCAGGAAACTTGAGCCTGCCATAAAAATAGCGCATTTGTGTTTGTTTACTTAAAGTTTCCAGGCCTGTCGCATGGAAGTCTTAAAGACTGACTAACTACGAGAAAAGACGTCACAAACAGAACAGAAAGAAACGAAAGGCAAGGCAGAGTCCTTTAATTGGACAGAGGATGAAATCGCGTTATTGCTTAAAATAGAGTACGAAGGCCAAGATCATCGAAAATAATGACTGCGCATTATGCCGAAAAAAATACTCTGATATTTTGAAGCTTTTTTCTTGAGCAATATCCTTCGCCAAGAGATGCCTCATGCATTGGCAAGGATTATCTACGCGGAAAAGACTGGATCTGGTATCGTTACGTCAGCGTACTCAAAAATGTACGAATTCAACCGTCCAAACGACGCCATTTTTAAGGTGTATTAAAAAAAAATCCATTCCGTGTGGATGGAAGGCCAATGCGCAACGAAAAAGTGGCAAAGTAAAAAATATCCGGATAGTTGTGGACGGGGCCTTTAGTGTGCACATTCAACCCATTTCTTAAATTAAGGACGTTAAGCAGTCAGAATGGCAACGCCAAGGAAGACGTCGATTAAAAAATGAAATCCTTCTTTTGATTAGAATTTCGAAAATGGCTGCATGTGTTTAATGTCTCATACGGCGCCGCACCTGAACTTTAGCACAACGTATAGAAGTAGCATTGGGTTCCAAATGGAAATTAAAACAATTTGCCGTCGCGGTTTCCGTTCGTGGACGACGCAAATTTTGGTGATTTCACGTTGTTCTTTTGCAAAGGACGGCTGAGAAATGTACAGTTTTAAAACGCACGTGCTGAGCCACTGTTCTGCCAATCAGATTTTTTGTTTTTCCACGTCTTCGTTGCAGTCGCCGTCGTGGTTTGCTTAAGGCCCCTATTATTCAGGGAGGAGGGGTATTTCCTTAAAGAGGAACACCATAAAAAGGGTATTGTCATTGACCACCTTCCATCTGAAGATACGATTTCGACTACTGTCATTGTCGGGTTACAGACAGCGCTTGACTTTTTAGCAGACGCAGCTGTTAGGTCTGAATGAGGAGAAGAAGAAAATCAATAATTCATGTTTAAAATACCACATAACTCGCAAAATATCCACGCGCATTCTATATAATAAGGTTTAGGTATTCGGCGTCGGTCTGAGAACAACATCTGTTTCCTCCCTTGATGCTATCATACGTTTTCCAAGGTCTCATAACAACGAACTTACCTCAGAAGGACGGTATATGAAACCGGGGCGAGAAACAAGATGGCTCACGTGTGATTCATAACGCGAACTGCTTAGTTCGCACACTCGTTTGCCTTGTTGAGATAGTGGACCGAGGTTGTAGGATTTGCAGTCAGTCTGCAAATAGCACCTCAGTTGACACTGATCTTCTTCGTCCACTGTGACATTGTTGATGATGCTTTTGTTGAAAGCACTGTCAGGATAAATTTCTCTAAAATGCTGAACCCTGCAGCAGTCTGCCAAGGAAAGCAACAAACAATGAGTCACTTCCGTTAAATCCATTGCAAGTAAAAGCCCCCGTTGAATGAGTTTTCTTTTGATATAAAAGGGAATTCCGGTCGTATCAAAGTATCAGTTCTTTCTCGAAGAAGAACCCTCTCGGTAAAATTTGCCTCGCTCCCAACGCGAGGCTTCTAGCTCATCTGGTAGAAGCGCCAAAGTAGTATTTGGGTGGTACAGGTTTGCGTGCATTTTTCTCAGGCTTCTTTTCAGAAACTCCGCAGACTACCTTGAGGATGATTGATTTATTTGAGAATTCAGATGGTGAATCAAGATGGAAAACTGAGAGTACGTTAATGCCGCTAAAAAGGTGATTGAGGACGTTTAACCACTAAAATATTTATCAGAAACAGAAACTCCGGCGAATATTTGCAAATTTAACTACTTCAAATTATATACATATGGTGAACGATCCTCGCAGTAGATAGCGCTATTTAAGCAATAGCGAAAACCAGACCTGAAAAAAATCAGGCCTGTACGGGATTCGAACCACTGACCTCTGCGATACTAGTGCAGCGCTCTACCAATTGAGCTAACAAGCCAACTGGGAGCAGGCCGTTAAGTTGATTCGTAATAAACCCGTGATAGTGATAAATCAGATACAATGAAATATATGAAGTTCATATATTTTGAACTGCGGTATTAGATACATATGGTGAACGATCCTCGCAGTAGATAGCGCTATTTAAGCAATAGCGAAAATCAGACCTGAAAAAAATCAGGCCTGTACGGGATTCGAACCACTGACCTCTGCGATACTAGTGCAGCGCTCTACCAATTGAGCTAACAAGCCAACTGGGAGCAGGCCGTTAAGTTGATTCGTAATAAACCCGTGAAAGTGATAAATCAGATACAATGAAATATATGAAGTTCATATATTTTGAACTGCGGTATTAGATACATATGGTGAACGATCCTCGCAGTAGATAGCGCTATTTAAGCAATAGCGAAAATCAGACCTGAAAAAAATCAGGCCTGTACGGGATTCGAACCACTGACCTCTGCGATACTAGTGCAGCGCTCTACCAATTGAGCTAACAAGCCAACTGGGAGCAGGCCGTTAAGTTGATTCGTAATAAACCCGTGAAAGTGATAAATCAGATACAATGAAATATATGAAGTTCATATATTTTGAACTGCGGTATTAGATACATATGGTGAACGATCCTCGCAGTAGATAGATTTAATACCGCAGTTCAAAATATACGAGCTTCATATATTTACTTGTATCTGGTTCAATATATATCTTACTGTCATTCTAAACAATTGCATCAAATTTCGCTAACTTACCTTCTGTCAGAACAAGATAAAGGAAGCTTAGTAACCAGAATCCTACCCAAAATTTGATGTTATTCTGACAAGTAGCACCAGTGTTGCACGGCATGATGGAAAGAGGTCGAAGTTCATCTGCTCTCTTTCTTTTATTTCTTCAAGTCTTCTTTTCATTAAGACCTTGAGGCATCGTTTAAAATTCAATCATGGATACCTTCTCGTCTACGAAATGACATTTCTTATGGCTTCACTAATCTCCGAGTTAGTTAATGCAGTTACTTCTAAGGTATACTTCTAAAAACCCGCTCGTTAATAATTAATGAAGATTTCTCCAAATCGCAGCTGTCTGAGTCAGAACTGTTGCAAAACTAAATTACGGTATCCTTGGATACAAGGCTTCAACGAGTAGTATAGTGGGTCGACGCTTTAAGTAAAGGATAAATTGTAAAAGGCACGAATGAAGAAATATTGGCGTAGTCTCGTCTTGTCGTTCTCTCTGACTAGGCATCAAAGCAGGCATTCTTTGTTTTCGGTGGCTTCTCTTAAAATCTGTGGAAAGCGTTAGTTATTTAATCTATCAATTGAAGAGAACATTTTACCAAATAACGTGAAGCAACAAGACCTCTCGTAAAAATTAATTGAAATATGATTTATTCAATGGTATTTTTTTTTAATAAGCCAATAACAATTCAACATCCTTACAAACCGCTTTGGTTTTCAGACTAGAGCTTTTCACTGCACACTGTGACTCTGTGCAGTTTTAGTGGTGCATCCTCTGGTCCAATACTTTTGGCGTGATGAAGTATAGGTGTAGTAATAAATCCCAAGAGCTATTAAAGTTAAAGTGACTAAAAAGAGCAAAACATTAACACCAAGAAAACACACACAGCAAGACAAAAAAACAAACAAACAAGCATGAACAAACAAAAAAACCGCTTTGGTTTTCAGACTAGAGCTTTTCACTGCACACTGTGACTGTGTGCAGTTTTATTGGTGCATCCTCTGGTCCAATACTTTTGGCGTGATGAAGTATAGGTCTAGTGATAAATCCCAAGAGCTATTAAAGTTAAAGTGACTAAAAAGAGCAAAACATTAACACCAAGAAAACACACAGCAAGACAAAAAAAACAAACAAACATGAACAAACAAAAAAAGAAACAACAAATCGACAAAAAGTAATCATCAGTTTGTTTAAATTAAAAGGTCACAGGGTTTTTTGATTGGTCATTTTAAAACAAAGGATGTCAATTAAACTGAGTAGAGATGTTACCTAAATATCTCCTTGAGAATTAACTTATCATAAAATCTGCAGATTACACCGTGCTGGACGCGGGGGTTAAGAAATTGATTTTAACTAAGAACACCTGGCGCCTTTTGCTCTAACATCTCCGATGATTCTATTGAAGCGAGTCCTAACGATACGAGGCTGAGAAGGACAGATTGATTTTGTTCACAAAAGATTTAAACCCAAAACGAAGACAAAAAATTGAAAATGTCGACACATACATCTCAGTTTGCGGCGTCTTTGAACTTGGTCAACCCAAAGTTCTAATCCGCACAAAGATTGAAGGTCCATCCGATAAGCTTTACAAAGCACCGTCATTTGACGATTTTCAACTTGATTAAATTGAGCCTCCCGAGCTAAGGGCACGGAGGGCAACTGGTCACACCTATAATGACCAACTCTATGGTGATTGAGGGATTTCTGTATACAGTCGAGCTATTTCATCCGCTCGCCGCATTTCTAGTGCTACTTCTTCTGTGAATCTTTGTCAAAATAGTCCCTTGTCTGAGGGAATCTATCAGGTCTATAATCTGTGTCTTTTTCCAGTCTTGTCTTTATTTCTTTTTGAATCTCCCTTCGATATGCACCATGGAGGGTACGATTTCCCTTGGCAGCTCTTGAAAGATCTGGAATAGTGAATTTACAACAACAACATCAGGATTAAAAAAAAAAAAAATAGATAGATACTTTATTGCTAAATACTTCGCAGCAT